TGCCTGGTGTGAACTAGCCCTAAAAAAATATCCCAATTAATGTTGCTCAGTATTCAATAATCTGCATTTGTGTATTTGACTCATTATTTGTTTTAATAAAAGCAGTGCAAGTACCTGAATGTGGCCTGGTATCAGGCTTTGGCAGTCTACTGTACAGCAAAGCTTAGACTGGGGGATGGAGAAGCAGCACAATTAGTCTATTGGTTATGCTGTAGTGCTTATAAGAGGGGAGGGCACAGAGATGTGTTCATCACTGAGCTGCTTCTCTTTTCACAGTACAGTCACAGGCTGGGGGAGACACAAGACCTTTAAGTGTTACGTAACTGCAGGAGAGAAAAATCAGGTCTTCTGCCCTGCTAGACATAGCTGTGCTGTGTGGCCGAGCTGTCCTTATCTCTGGACTAGATGGATAGAAATACAAACAGATCCAACATGTGTTGTTGTTTTTTTCTTCTTGTTTATTTAGCTGTTTGGAGAATGTTGTAACACTTTGGAATTGTTTTGTTGCATTATGTAGAAGTGTGTCAGATTTACTTGTCACCATTTGCTTAAAAAAATAGCTCTAAGGAATACATTTTTAAGAATTTATTTTCAGATACTTGTACATGGTTTAGAAACTGTACACATGACGTTCTAATGCTGCAGCAGATCACTGCGTTCATTCTGTCACAATCTACACCATAACCCTTGGGACAAATGTGTGACAACAGGCCGACATCTGAAGATTGGCTGTACACATTCATAAAACAGGAAGTGCACTCGCAAAACCATTGGCTGGTGTGACATTTGGAAGTAGAGCTCAACGGCATTCATAAATGTCCCTTATCGAGTGTGTGCTGGATATGATCTAACAATTGTCAGACATTAGTGCGTGCTTTTTTTTTTTTTATTAATCTTACTGGCAGACCTTTGTACACCTACTGCACAAGTCAAGGGTTGCATGCAAATGTTGACTCGAAATCAATACCATTCTGTGATAACTTGATAACCCATGTTGGCTAGCAAGTAATGTATTTGGCTGAAAGAGAGATGGTCATAATGGGGATTATTTAAAGAATCTGAGGATTCAGGCTTCAAGTGCAACTTAAGCTGAAACTGGATGGAGTAGAGCGGGATTAGAACCCCCGTCAGGTTTTTATTGCCGTCTGTGTCTCTGTTGGGGACATTCATCCTCTTTGTCCTGGTGACTGTTATCACTGAAAGTAAAAGAAAATCCCAAATTGTGTATTGTCACCAGAGCAGTAATAGAGGGGAGATCTTACAGTGGGGACCCTAGTTCTAGTGACCTTGCTGACCACCAGGGGTTTCCCTCTGTTGGGATGGATTTCCTCACTTCCTGTTATGGCTTTAAAGAAGAAAGTGTAGGGAAATCTCCCCAATGGGATGGCAAAAAGAAAAAGCTGAAAGGGGGGTTTAGTCGATTTTAGTCAGCTATCAATTAAATTGCCTGTTCGGGGCTCCACACACGAGCCGCGCATGCTGCGCGCCGCGCACGCCACACGCCACGGTCCAGCCTCCGGCTCTCTTCCAATCCCGGCGCTCCTTACATCTAGCCGGGCCGGTGCGGTCACATGACGGGTGTCTGGGATTTTAGCGCAACAGGTGTCAGCCGGGGGATGGAGACGATGGCTGAGGATGAGCTGGCATCCGGGGCTGAACCGGCAGCTGCGGATGGGGGACCCAGGGGACGGGGAGAGGGAGCAGCCCAGCATGAGGGTCTTCAATCCCTACACAGAGTTCAAGGAGTTCAGCAGATCAAAGACATGGAGAGAATGTTCAGACAGTAATTGACCGGAGCATGGAACCTGAGGACCCGACACCATGCACCTCAATCCTCCATCATACCCGTCCTCTGCACCCCAATCCACCATCATACCCATCCTCTGCACCCCATTCCACCATCAGACCCATCTTCTGCACCCCATTCCACCATCAGACCCATCCTCTGCACTCCATTCCACCATCATACCCATCCTCTCCATCCCTGCACTCCATTCCACCATCATACCCATCCTCTCCATCCCTGCACTTCATTTCAACATCATACCCGTCCTCTGCACCCCATTCCACCATCATACCCGTCCTCTCCATCCCTGCACTCCATTCCATCATACCCGTCCTCTGCACCCCATTCCACCATCATACTCGTCCTCTCTATTCCTGCATTCGATTCCACCCGTCCTCTGCAATAACACCGGCTATAGAGGAATACATCAGATCCCAGCAATAATACATTATATACAGTGCAATGCAGAATACCAGCAGCTACAGAGGACTACAAATCCCAGCAATAGTACATTATAGCATAATGTACTATTGCTGGCATTTGTTGTATTCCTCTAAAGCTGCTGGTATTCTGCATTGCACTGTATATAATGTATTATTGCTTCATTTCTCTGTAGCTGCTGGTATTCTGCATTGCGCCCCTGTATAATGTACTATATTAGACACCACATTTTTCTTCCATCGCACCAAGCTTGCTCCCGTGATGGACTACAATCTCAATACAAACTAGTAGTCCATCACTGGAGCCTTTTGTTTCTCCGATTAATTGAACTTAATAATTGGCTAACTAATCGATTTTGAAAATAATCGTTAGCTGCAGCCCTACATTATACATTATACATAATGTACTATTGCTTGAATTTGTAGTCCTCTATAGATGGTGGTATTCTGCATTGCTGTATAATGATTATACAGCACAACACCACTGACCAGTTATAGAGGAACTACAAATCCATTATACAGCGGCACAATGCAGAATACCACCAGCTGTAGAAGAACAACAAAATCCAGCAATAGTACAACAGGAAACATTAAAAAGGTTTAGAATGTTGTTGCTGAGTGACTTACTTTGAGTCGTGGGCCCTTCATTGTCGGCGGGAAGCGGCGAGTCAGGAAGCGCACAGGGAGGAGAGGAGCAGAGGCATGTCTTCAGTGTGCGCAGCTTAACCCGCGTGTGCGGTTGGCATGGCGTGTGCGGTGGGCGTGGCAAACAGGCAATTTAATTGACTGCCGACTAATCAACGATGGAGAACGTTGACAACGCTTTCCATCGTCGATTTTAATCGACCTAAAGCGAATACCTGTAGTTGTTGCAGCTCTAGTTGAAATGTGTATTCCAAGTTATCTGTGCATTCAATATTTGTCCCTAGGTGACATTAGGGGTCTGAAAGACCCCAGTTGTCTCCATAAAGAGGACCTGTCACACCCTATCTGCTCTTACATGGGGTGCTTCTTACATAGGGTGCTTTTTGTAACCACAACAATTTAGACATTGTTGTGGTTACAAAAAAAAAAATCCCCAATCGGGATGGTCTGTGTATGAGCTCAGAACAGCTAGTGGGTGGGCAGAAACAATAACAAATGGATCTTTGGTGTCTAATTATTTTGACATGTTCTTAAAGTGGTACTAAAGGCTGGATGTCTTTTTTACCTTGCCGCATTCTCTGCATTAAGGTAAAAAACACCCAGTACTTTTCTAAATATTCCCCCCCCCCCCCCTTTACCCGTGGTCGCTTGTATCCTCCGCCGCGACAGGGAAGATACTCGGCATTCCCCCGAATTTCCTGGTTGTGGGGAGGTTACTGAGGGCAGAGGAGCCATAAGGTGCCCATGCACCTGCCGATTATCGTACGATAATCGCAGGTGATCCCGCGATCGTACGATAATCGGCAGGTGTATGGAAGGCGTGTGACCGTTTCTACTGTACGGTCGCACGTCTTTTGTCTTCCGAGCACGCTTGAAAACCTGCCGAAAATCGTAAGATTTTCTGCGGGTTAGTGGCGTGCTCTTAAGACAAATGCCGAACGTACGAAATTTTAATTACCTTACAACCATCGCACAACGAAAGTCGTGCGATGGTTGTAAGGTATATGGGCAGCTTTAGACTCCTTCTGCCATCAGTCAAACTGTGACTGCAGGGGTGGGGGCATGGCCAGCCACACGCGGTGTGTGTCTGTAGACGCAAACACCTAGGTGCAGGCACGGTCATAAGCGTGAACGCACGGGTGCCTCTACAGCAGCCACCTAGCTGATAGTGGCTAGCAGTTTTAATACCACTAGAGGAGGCAAATAAAAAAAAAGAATAAAAAATTGTGTATTAAAGTGAGGCCTCCAAAAACAAAAAGTAAAAAAAAAAGGTTTAATATCACTTTAAATCTTAGTTTGTGTAACATCATAGATTTCAGAGTGGTAGACTCGGGACTTTTGAATTGCTTTGGAAACATTCTGATGTTCAATAGAATTTCCCTTTTAACTACGGTAGTTTGTTCTTTGGTACTTTTTAATATTTTCTGCTCTGGATCAGCTTTATAAATCTCTGGAGGAGACAAAGAGGTCACATGGCAAGTGCTCTTGCTAAACATATGCTGTGTGCAGTTGTCATAAATGATGTACATTATGATAGAAAAGTTTGGCTCTGTTGCCTGTACGCAATACATTCAGTTATAAGAAACCCCACTAAAATGAAACCTAATAATAGGGAACAGGGCACAGTGAAATGTATTTGTACAAGTCCATGACTTTTGTCTATACAGGAAAGTAGCTGAGTCATTTTTACTAGTGCCCTTTTATATTAGTTTCAAGTGTATCGTCATAAAGTAGTTTATGGGTGGCCTCAGGAAGTCTTTAAAGGGACATGTCATCTTTGTTTCTTCTCTTTAAAACCTTAAGCAAAGGAAAAGTAGTAGTACTTTAGTGTACTGACAACATCTAGTAGGATGTTCCTTTTATGTTTGCTAACATGCACTGGTAAATAACAACTGGAATGTACCTGGAAATACACTTACCTTTTATTACCCACTATTTGTAATCAATAATGAGAAATTGTTAGTTAGCAAAGTTAGTGTATGTAAACCCTATCAATTACCAATTCCATACCAACAGTAGGCTAAGGGCACTTTAAGAATCATGCATGGAAGGACTTTTTCTTTTATGTTTAATTGATTTGAAGATACAGCTGCCATTGTGAGTTTTTAATGTTCATGTGTCTTCTGTAGAGGAAGCCCTCATGTGAAGACAATACCACACTATAAAGAAGAACAATGTGCGCCAGCATTAAATTTGGAGACCAAAAAGGTTCTGGATTTGCAGGCTCCAATAACAAGGTATGTCTAATTTCATATACTGTATATGTATATGTATGTGTGTAATATATATATATATATATATATATATATAAAGTATATCCTGTAAATGGTCATCTGCAGGAGCCTTTATGAAAATGTAGTCGTTTGTGTATAGTGACTCTTTTTACATTTAGTGTTCTTTTTTATAGTATACAGTCCATGATGGAAGACCTGTTGGTGGCTACAGAGGATTGTCTGCTTCACCTTATACACTGGGAAGGCATGACAAATGGCAGGAAGGCCATAAACCTGGCTACAATTCCATTTTCAGTTGACTTTCAGCCGTCCAGAGGTACTCCATTTTAGTATCCGAATGAAGAAAGTCAGTGGTATAAATAATGAAGAGATTGCAAATGTATTTGTCTAGCTGTTTACCTTTTTTTTTGTTATGGCTTTAGAATTATTTTTTTAATACCCAACTGAACTTTCAGTTTAAATCCGCTAAATATATTCCATGTGGATCAAAACAGGTGGGCAAAGCTTTACAGTTGATTTTTGTTTCTTAGTAGAAAAGCCTGTATCCTGACGGCATGGTCATTGTGTAAGCAGTGAGCTCCCTGCAGAGGTCCAACCTGCCCCTTGCTGTGTCAGAACTAGAGCTTTCCAATCAGCAGGGAGCATGAACTTTGCTAAACCGAGAGAGACCACTGCTTCCATGAGTCTATCGCTGCAGCATGTTGGCTTTGCACACATTTTGTTTTGATCCACCTGGAATGTATTAGTTGATTTAAACAAAAGTTAAATTGAGCTTTAAACAAAGCCACATCTTTTGTGTGTATTGGCAAGGCTGTTTAAATCTCTAAAAATTACCAATTAACACATTTGTCTCAGTTTCTTAAACCATTCCGGGCCGCAATACGTCTATAGACGGCGGCCCGTTAAAGTAGTTAAAACAAGAACACTGCTACTGCTTTTCATATTTTACCAAAAAAAATGGGTATTATATTATGTTTCTGTGCACTAAGTCTTAATTTAGTTTATTTTTTCCTAAAAAATACTGGTTTTATAAACATTTGCGCAAAAACCGTGCAACATAAATTGCAACTAGCATTTTTTTTTATTCTGCAGGGCCTCTGCTTTCAGAACATATATCATTGTTTGGGGGTTTGAAGCTGTTTTCTAGCCAAAAAATTGTATTTTATCATGTGTGCGCAAATAGTTAGAAAATGCCCCGGACAGCAAGTGGTGAAGTTAGGTGGGCTTTTAATTTGCAAGTCAGCTGATTTCCTTAAACAGACATCCAGAGTAATTTGTTGTCTGTGTCCATCTTGCTTTAACCACTTCCCATGCACAATCTGTTGTTCTATATTTATATTCATATTACCTTGTAAAATATCTTGTGCAGTTTAATCTACCCTCTCATTTGACAGCTAGCAGCTGATACTGTTCGTGGCTGCTAGATGTCAGAGCAGATTGTTACTGGCAGCTCCCACTAATGATTGGAAACCAATCAGCATGACTCCCAATTATGTGATTGTGACTTCATGTGACTATCAAGTTTTACTACGTACCAATCCCTGTAGGGAAGGTTTCTCATTATTGTGTGTCTAGATAAATGGACATTAACAGCAATAGAAAACTTGCAGAGGTGTTTACCCTTCCCTACACTGTCAGCAGCCAGTTGAGAATGTACTTGTATGTAGCCTCATTGACATTGGTTAAAGCAATTTGCATATAGGCATTGCATTATGCCCTAACTTGAAAAATAAGGGATCCACTATAGTGCGCCTAAATCTTGAGTTAAGGTTTCTGCCAAAATATAAACAGTCCTGTAATGTAATAATAAAGATATTAATACGGTTTTATAATGTAGGGTAGTCCTAAGCCCTGTGGTGGGCACACCATCGATGGGGTTTGTGTCATCATGTTTGTTTTCTTGTAGGTTCATTCTTGGATTTTGGAGATGTACACATTCGGGAGATGGAATATTGTGTCACTCTTGATGGGTTTGCTGTTGTCTTCAATGATGGTCGTGTCGGCTTTATTACACCAGTTTCAAGCCGTCTCACTGCTGATGTAAGAACCCACCTGCCAAATATGTCCATTCTGTAGAAGTAATGTCAACCTATTCATTTGGGTTTAAGAAGGGTTTGATATTGCTCTCCACCCACCATTCAGTTTCAGATGCTCATTATGAAGTTCACATTTTCTAGCGCAGATTGAATTGGATTGGTTGCTATGATTTTTCGGAGGCAGTTCTTTGACCGCTTTATAAATATAAGAATGGCAAATGAGACTGTAACATGTGAAGGATGCTTTAAGACAGTACTAAGATTTGACTTCTCTGTCGCATAGCAGAGGTCATGTGTGATGCACCCCCATTTTCCAAAAAGACATGTATTTTACACATCGGGACTCTTCTGAGAGACCACTGTTAAGGCTGCCATTGCAGGGCCTCCTTCTGCACATTCTAGTTGCCTGGCTGGTATGTCGCCCTCTGGCTTCCCCCTATTGACCAAAAGTATTCAAACCAGTGGGTCAACATGCCAGTTAGACAACTAGCATTTGCAGAATGCAAAATCAGCAAAGGTGTCCATGTTTTTTGCCGAATGGTTTATCTGATCACTGTGATAATGTGAGATATGGAGAATTGCAGAAAGGACATTTGTTTTCAGTTTTTCCTCTTAAAATGTATGGTCAAATGTTTTAATTTTGTGAATAATGTGTGACTGTTTCTTTCTTTACAGCAAGTCCATGGCGTTTGGGCACCAGATGTTGTTGATGGAACGTGCGTGGCAGTTAACAATAAATATAGATTGATGGCATTTGGATGTGCTAGGTAAGCTATATTCTGCAAGGATAGATTTTGTCTTCACAATTTGCAAAGTAATTGCTGTTCACTTCACAACTGAATCATTCACAGGTTTTAAACATATTTGTGGGAAAGATCAAAAGCATTCCAACCATCCCAAGCCCAAGTCAGCCTTTAACGCTAGTATCAGTAACTTAAAACACAGTACACAGCAATGCTTCCGCACATTGTTTACATTGCCAGTGAGTTGACACCACAAGTGACATCACGGCAGTCTGTTAGTGTGGAGGCTTGGGCAGAGCTGCTTTGGATTTCAGCAGAGCTGCATGGGTTGGGGTTAGGCCAGGTCTCCACTGACCAGATCCAGACCCCCATTCCCAGAAAAATATTTTTTGTAAAAAGTAAACAAAAATAAAGATTTTAATACAGTTTAATAAAATATAAAAAAATCCCTCCCCATAAATCTCACCAGTACATCAGGATGTTCTGAATGACATTTGTGTTTACTGCATAAGCAAATTCAATGTCATTCAGAAATTTAACAATTGTTAACGTATAAAAATGTTGCAGACATGCTCGTTTTTGTTGGTGCAAACCTGACTTGATATTATCTAAGGGTCCATTCACACTATTCATTGCAATAAAGCACATGCACTAATGCAGAGTGCTACCATGCATTAATGTGTGGTAAGGCAGCATATTCATGTCTTAAACCACTAAAAATGGACATGGCTGTTTTTAATGCAGCGAACAGCATGTGTGTTGCTCTGCGCTAATGTAACAGTGGTTGGTGTGTTGCTCAAAATTAATGGCACCGCAACACTCAGTGCTGAACATGCCTTTAAACATGTGTTTTACTGCCCGTGAAATCCAAGTTGTTGTGTGGCCCTCTGAATATGTCAGAGGCTACACTTTACTAAGTAAACCACCACTAGTTTATTCTGTGTGAGGTCATGTTGTTGCCAGTCAGCAGCTGTCAGAGTTCTCTTGACCTCTGACTCCCTATACTCTAAAGCAGTGGTCCTGTGTAACCTCATGACCAACATTTGTCCTTGGTTATTAAGTCGTGACCCAAGTCGCACTGCAATGGAATGCACAGAATTAGGGTACTGCGCGTTCCGGTGTGGGCGTATGAGCTGTGGGTGGTAGGTGCGTCTGAGGTACCGTTCAAATGAATGGCAATGCAACACACTTCCCACGCCAGAATTCACGGTAGGTGCGATTGCGTGGTACAGTGTGTTAATCACACAGTACAATGGGATTAACACACTGTACTAATGTAAAAGGACCCATGAAAACACTGAGATTCACACACACACACACTCCAAAAAAATGTAAACATTTTTTTAAAGGGCCACCCAGTCTCCTTACCTTACAAGAAATAAAGTGGATCCTCAGCCTGGGGTCCAGTGTGGGCTGTTGTGCTGTGACAGAGCTCCATTCATATGTGCATTGCTTGTACAGCTCACTTTCATGCCCTGAAGAGGTGCTGGGAGCCAGCATGTGATGTCACCCTGGCCCAGGCACCTCTACAGGACATGCAACGCAGCTGTAAGCAATGCACGTGTGGATGGAGCTCTCTCGTGGCCATATCCCCATCTCATCCCACCTCCAACTGACACTCAACGCCAGGCAGCATATTGTGAATGGCTGCTTGAGGAGAAAACTGACAGTGCTGTGCTAGGGGGAGGCAGAGGAGCCTTTCACCTGGAAAGTGGAAGGCATGTGGTGACCCACTGAACACGGGGTCACGACCCACCAGTTGAGAACCAAGGCTCTAAAGTGTCAAGTTCATACAGAATAAATATGAAGGCTCAGGGAGAAATGTAGATCTTTCATAAGAAATGTGTGTGCAGTTGCAATAATAACAGACTGACTATTCAGGTTCCTACATAAGACGATTTGTGACTGGTTCCATTTACCTTGGCACAATCTCACCATCCCCATGATGTGCATCTGTCTTTAGAATGGCATTTTGCAGTCACAACATCTATGGTATATTTGACAATCAACAATACATATTTAGATAGAAAATGTTATTTAAAAACCGTCTAATACAACTAATTAAACTTGTTCTAAACATTTGCTGTCTGAGACTAAAAACATATTTCTCTCTCTGTCACAGTGGCACTGTGCTGGTATATACAATAGATAACACGACTGGTGCTATGCAGCTTTCCCATAAGTTAGAGCTCACTCCAAAGCAGTATCCAGGTAAGAATTTGTATTTGCATGACCGTGTCATTATTACCCAGTATTTATGTTCTTTGCTATGTACTTTTAAGACAGCCAGATCACTTCTACTGCACAGCCTGCGGGCTACCAGCTGAGGTAGAAATTAGCTCAAGGCTGTGTTGTGGTCATTAGCTTGTTTACATCCTGCCACTGCCCTTCTGTAGTACTTACCATGGTGCCTGCAAAAGGTTTAGTTAGTGTCATACTACACATTGTTAAAGTTGAACTTCAGGCAGATATTGAAATCGCCCTTGTATCTAGATATGTATTCATTAATATATAATTTATATATTTAAATTAATTCCTCTTTTAAATTCCTGTAATCCCCTGTAGAACAATACCACGAATGGGAGGGAGATAGTAAGCACGTAAAACAATTATAATCTGTTGGTTTTTTTTTACAGTGCCTTAACATTTTGAACATGTTTATTGTAGAGGAGAACTTAGGGATGATGATCTAGGTACTTGACTACGTTAGACTGCTTAAAGGAAACCTGTACAGAGAAAAAAAAGTAGGCATTTAAAGGCTGCTGTGGGGGTACACTTTTTTTAAAAAATTTTAGTTTCCTTGTGATACTGGAGTACATTTTGCAATATTCTCCTGTAATAAAAAAAATCCCAATAAGCTTAAAATTCTGTGTAATATACTGTGGGCGGAGCTAAGCTCTGTGATGAGAAGAAATCCTGAAAATATTGTCGGGAACCTCCTCTCCCATTGAGTTTACAGCAGCTTGTAGGAGATCTACACATGCAGGGCACAGTCTATAAAAGTTTATTCATGTCAACACCTAAAGCATCTCAGATGTCTGGCTTGTAGTGTCCTGGGGCTACTAGTTAGAAACTTGCACCCCCCCCCGAAATCCTGCTTTATGCTGTCCAATCTGCCTGTGTCTTCACACAGAGTTGCTACCCTTAATGCTGCTCTGGCAGACCTCTTGGATCAAGTCATCAAGCCCCCTATGTGATAGCATATTGCTGGTGACAAGTCCTCTTTAAGGAGACATCAGGTGTCTATTAGACCCCTATTGTCACCTTTGAACCCCAATAAAGCTGATTAAGCACAGATGGCAATTGTACAGCTTCTTCCCTGGCCACAGCGGCCGGGGAATGACGGCTCAAAAAATTTAAGTGGCTAAATCCTTGTGGCTTTTGGGTTCATTCACCAAAAGGGGAATCCGCAACACCTGCTACAGTAAATACAAAAATCCTGTTTTTTTTTATATATTTTCCTGGACTTCAACTGTAAATACTGAACAAACGTATACAGTATGTTGTCACTTGTGGTCTCACAATGCTTATATTTTTTTCTTAGTCTCTGTCATGCAAACTGCCATGTGTGTTTTTTTAATTTGGTGTCATTAGATATCTGGAACAAGACTGGATCAGTCAAGTTAATACGGTGGTCCCCTGATTACAGTGTTGTTATGGTAACCTGGGAATGTGGAGGCCTTTCTCTGTGGAGTGTATTTGGGGCACATCTGATTTGTACTCTTGGAGGAGACTTTGCGTAAGTAATCACATTCTGCTCATCTCTACATTGCATACCTGTGTGTTTCTCCCAATAATTATATCCTCTCAAATACCCATTCAGTCATGCATATACGGAAAAAAAAAGTCATTTAAAAGCTGGAACAAACTGCTTTGTAAAACATGTCTTTGTTACAGTCAAAATCTATTTTTGTCATCTTTCTATACAGTCTGTAAAAACTATATAGTGTTTAGCATTATTTGCTAATGGACGTAGGGCTGTATTTTGCCCTAAACACCCTGAAACCAAGACGCCCTGTTTTACAGCCTCTGCCTCTTTTTGTTACATCTTGTATTATTTTAATAAAAGGTGCTAGAATGTGTTGTTGGTGGAAACGAGCTGTCTACTTTATATATTCATGGCTACTTTTTAACTGTACAGATTAACAGACAAGAAAAAGTAGGAATAGTTTTCGGTCTCTTGAACTATAGCGAGTTCTTGACTGCCTTCAACATCCCCTGCGCCTTCCTCACCCTACTGTTCTTTTGCTGAATTTAGGCACAGATGTCCATAGTTGCATAGAAGGGATAAAATGATCTTTGTAAATGTTGAGGCTTGGTGAACCCCCCCCTCTTCCTTACCCCAGAGCTGTGGGCACTGGCCCACGATAGCTATTACTCCAGTAACAATAGATGTGTTGTAGTACAGCTACAAGGCTGTGTAGCCTGTGCAGACCAACTGATTTTTCCATTAAGCTTACTACCAGTAAAATGTGGGTCTAGCAGAGCCACCCTTTAGGCCACATCTGCTTAAAACTCATGATGACCAGCTTAGGAAAGAAATACAAACCTTTGTTTAAAAACTGAATGCAGCAAGCAGTTAAAATTATTGCAGCTATAATTTTCTATTGTAACCTTGCTGCAGTTCATGGTTAACCCAATAGCAATTCTTTAGCAATTTGAGTGATATTGTTTTAATACAGCCATGTTTTGCTATCTCATATTTTGCTGCAGTCCATTGCATCAACAAATGCTTTCCACTGATAGGTTTTGTGTGCACTACCCATTTCTTCTGAACTAACTGCTCAGTAAGAAAAGCCTTTTTCCTGTATGTATGCATTTTTGTTGAAGATTAAGATTTAAAATATCAGCAGTTACGACACTGTTGACATATAAGTCAGATGCAACTCTTTCAAATGGTTGATGTTTGCACCCTTCTCGACGTGATTGTCTTACCTTGACTTTTTGTCCTTAGTTACAGGGCAGATGGAACCAAGAAAGAGGCTTTAAAAATTAGCTCTATGGTGGGTATATGACAGAAACAAGTTGATGCTGTTTTCTGTTTCTTTTATTTTGATTGTATTTAATTCAGGGGCATATAAAGCAAAGATAGAAAGCATATGTGGATGGATTAAATATTGCCTGGATAAATTGATATGTAGATACTACAGTAAACTCCCAGTTTTCCAACACCCACTTGGGTTGGTAGATGCCAGATACCTGTAGTTTTTGTTTGCTTGAGAGTTAATAGTAACTTTTTATTTTGCCGTTTGCTTGAATGCCGATTAACGGGGCGTTTACTGTAGATGGCTAGATGGATGGGACAGGATAAAGCTTGATGCAATGAATAGATTCCATGGGTTGACAGACTAAGTGTATTGGTTATATAGAACAGATGCATTGCATGAATTGATGGATAGAAAGAATATAATGACTGTGATAGGTGGCAGAGCGGTGTGGGAGGAGATGCCGGCCGTTCGCAGCGCTCGGCCGGCTGTCACTTTCTTTTCTCCCTGCTGGAACAGTGCCTCTATAGATATCTATATATATATATATCATAGAGAGATCAACAATAGGCAAATGATCTAATGAGAAGAAGAGGAATCAAAAGGTAATGTAACATAAACAACAATTTTTGTTGGTGAAATATGTAAATTAAATAAATGATGTGTAATTGGAAATAAATGTCAGAGAGATATTAGAAGCTGGCATTGTCTTAATCGCAGTTTGTATACTTATTTTGGAATTTTGATACATCTGTATTACACTCAAGTGACTGCCCTGCAACTAGTTTGCTGCTTTCATCAATGATTTCTTAAGGTGGGCTTTTTGCTTAATTAGTCTCTTTTTTGCTTAATTAGTCTCTTTAGTGTACTAGTAGTCTATGGTGTTATTGCTGCATCTCTTTTTTGAGCTAAGTCATGCATGATAAGATTATTATATGGCAAAATGCCACAATCAGTAAGTGTAGTTGGAAAGCTACCACTGTTACCATGTAATTCTGCATCTGTTCCACTAGCCAGCAACATAAAGTAAGCCAAAGAGACCATCATTCAGTGTTGACTAGTGTGAGAAAAAATTGGAATTTCTGTCTGGGTTTTTTTGCTGCCTGTGTCCCCGTTAAAGACATTTTGATTTACTTTCTCATATATTGATCTTTTTGTCTGCTGCAGAGCTGGGGACCTGAAGGTTATCATTTGTGGGCAATTGCTGCAAACTCTTCGGGACATGGAACAAATGACAAAGCTGTGCCGAAACAGTCAGGAATACTTCAGTTCCAGTTTATAAAGAGTGCCCTTACTGTGAACCCTTGCATGGTAAGTGCTGTCTACAAATTGGATTTCACAGGATAAAACTCTTCACCCATCATGATATTGATAACATTTGCATACAGCCTTGGCAGGAAAGTCCCCATCTGTGTCTTAAGAAAACCCCTTTCTACAGGCTACACTGAATTTTTCTTTTCTCTTAAACGAAAAGTAAAGCCAAACTCACTTTTTTGGCTTTACTTCTCTTTTGAGTTACAAGAATACATTTACTAATGAACTTCTGTAACCCAAGGTAAGCATATAGTGGGCTACTGCCCTCTGTTTGCTGACAGCACAGAGCCACACTGCAGCCACGAAGGATTCTGACTAGGGATGTTCAGATACCAGTGCCGATATTTTGCATTTTCACAAGAACTGCCAGGGTTGTAGCGGTTGCAGCTGTTACCAGGCCCTGACATGCCACCACTGTCCTAAAATCATTAGTCTGTATTGTGACACCCAGCTGCCTAATTGATAGCTGGCTCTGCCTTTCCCCTGAGCAATGGAGGAACAGAGAGGGGAATCCCTGCAGGGAGCCAATTGCTCTCTCCAGGGAGTAGACTGTAAGTGATCAATGGCTACACGATCACTCAGGTCTTAATGTAAATATTTATACGAGTCGGCGTGTGCAGCTGCAGTGTCTCACACTTTACTCTCCCAATACTTCTCCTTTTAACCAGCGCACATCCATTGGCCGTTGCTGAATGGCCGGACGGGATCCTTATAGGTGCGGGAGACGTCCTTCCTCTCCCCCCGCTCATGCGCGGCGCGCATACAAGTGGGGAAACTGTCAAAAATGTAAACAGTCAGCGATGGCTGTTTACATTCAAGCGATCACTTGTAGTAGTTGCTGGTGTGCAACCCGACAACTCCCCCAAAAACCCCCTTCCGTCGCCGTAGCTAGGACCGGCACGGCGACTCTGTCACAGGAGATCAAAGGTAGAGCAGTACACAATTTCCCTTTTTGATCTCCTCTCCAGTCCCTGAATTCAGGAAGTGATGTATATTACATAACTTCCGCATTCAGTGTCACTCTCCGGCAACAGATCTCGGTCTCAGAGACCCCTGATGTCTCCATAAAGAAGACCTCTTATGTGAATTGGCTATCACATAGGGGTTTCTTAGCCCCCAATGTGAGAGCAATAAAAATAAGTGTAAAAAAAAAAAAAGTTTTTTAAAAATGAAAGCATTCAAAAAAATTAAAGAAGCTTTAAAAAAAAGTCACAAATTAAAAAAAACACACGCAAACATGTGTCGGGTGCGCCAACGTGCGAAAACGACGATTTTGCCTTTTGTGCCGCACGTTACTTTTGCGGGCGTGCAATTTTAAGGCTTGACATGTATGGTGTCTATTTACCTGTCGTGACCCAGTCTTTTATATTTTACCAAAAATTTAGGGTGATAATAAATGTTTCATAACATTTCATACGGAACAATATTTCTTCAAAATTTAGGGCACTTTTAGGGTACTTTTACCCTACTTTTAGGGTACCGCAGCGCTGAATACTGAAAACTGTCCTGGCCAGGAAGGGGGTTTAACACCCTGGTCTTTAAGTGGTTAAATAAACCTGGATGGAGTCTTTATGTACTACAGCAGCTATCTTCATGGAGTTGGGACTGTATGGTTTCTGTAAGAAGTTGAGGAAATCTCATAGGCAGAGAGTGCTCATTTGTGGCATGATTATCAATATATTCTGACTTTGGGATATGGTAATGTTGTCAAATATTTTTTTGGGAAGATTACCGTATGTGTTTTTCATGAGACTGTCACAGCTTTGCATAAGTAAAGCATGTACCGTAGAACACACACAAACAGATTACACTCAATTCTCACTTCTGCATTGTATATTTGCAGCACTACTTAAGGTTTTAAAAGGCAACAGAGCCTGTTTTTATTTTGTCATTATATTCCTCCTAGTTCATGAAACGTGCATGAGATTTTTGCAAACTCTATATGGTCTATTAAAGCCATTTTTAACATGAAACTGTGAATAAGTGCTGAAACAGGCTTACGTTGTTTGCTTGGCCTTTTCCCTGAAGGGTTCTGCTGCTCTGAGCTATAGGCGCCGATTTAGTATAGGAAACATGTCTGTTTATTGCCTCACACAAGTGATAGTAGTGGTTGCATGCTCTTGGCACATTGAATCCAGGAATAGAACAAATTCCTTCGTGTTTTCAATCACTTCAGGGTTTTAAGAACTCTAAAATCTTTTTGTTTGTACCACTGATGCAATTTTGAAACTGATAATACTGGTGTAGAATCCTGTGGGTTTTAAAGAGCAATACCAGGTAACAAGTAAAAAAAAGATTGCAAATGCTGTCTAGCCAATCTGTCTTTATTTGAGCTCTGCGTATTCTATTTTAGTGACAGCACATTAGCTTCCCTCACATTCAGTCAGTGTATATCCTGAATCCTGTGCTATATATCTCATCCTTACTCTGGTTGCTGCATCACCAATTATATTTAGACTGTGGCAGGCTTAAGTCTGGTGGCTGTGGGAATTTTATAAGTATTGTAGTATGAACAAGGGGGGCTGTGCTCTCATCAAGAGTCTAGCTTTATGCACCAGTGCATATTTCTTATTTAAATGTTATTTCTCCATCTTATGGACATGTGTGCACATATTATATATTCAACTGTTCACACAAGTGTACATCATAGTGTATACATTCTCACAAAGGTGTGCTTGTTACTTAAAGGAGAACTATGGGGTAACCTTTTTCCCCCAGATAGTTCTCTTTAGGGTCATGGTAGGACATATACTAATGTCCTCCCGTGACCCAAAACTAAGTATATAACGGGCTATTGCCTGCTATATGCTGAGAACGCCACAGCCGGGACTAATCCTGACAAAACTGTCGAGATCCACCCCACTGGCTGATTGACAGCGGGCTCTGCCTATCTGGAGGCAGAGCCAGCTATGCCCACCCACTCCCCCCATCCGTTCCTCCAGTCAGCACTGGAGAAACAGAGAGGGGAGGGGGGAATCCCTGCAGGGAGCGGTGACTGACGGTCACCGCTCTCTGCAGGGAGATGATGTGGAATCGAGTGGCGGTTTGTCTTCGCTCACTTCCCGATCAATAGACCCGACATGACCATTTCACACGTCGCCTTCAACTATGGGGATGAGTGTAATTTGCTCACACCATAGTTGTCCTTTTAACTATTCTGATCATGCAGACATTGATCTCTTCTTTAGATTTTATTAACAGTATTTGAGGAAATAACTATGTATAGTGTGTTTTTAAATGCTGCATTGTCTTGCAGAGCAACCAGGAACAAGTATTGCTTCAAGGAGAAGACCGTTTGTACTTGAACTGTGGGGACGCAACTCAGACCCAACATGTAAGAAGTTCATCCTCACACACAGAACTCAAGTCCATGCGTGAGAGGCCTCCATATCCTGCTGGGAATATGGATTCTCAGGGCTTAAGCACTTTACTGGGGCATAGACACTGGCACGTTGTGCAGGTAGGTTGTTTCTTTGGTAAATACTAAACAGGTCCTCCAATTTTCCAGCCCCAAAGCTGGTCCTTTGTCATCTAGACAAGCTTAGAATGGACCACTCAGGACCTTCACTAAGGACCTTCAAAATGAAGTGGCTAATATTTTAGTCTGTTGGAATGTAAAAAAATGTATACCAAGTTGTTTTTTTCCAAATTCCAAAGGAGTCTAATATGGGAGAGCTATATTCACAGTTAAATAGTTATGAAGATTTTATTAAGTATTGACAAGTAATGTTTCTTTATAGGACTATGATCCGTGACCTTTATTTTGCCTAGTGTCTACTGTTTATTAGCTGGTGGAATACACTATCTTGTGTCATGAATCTGCCGAGTAGATATTGTTCTCAGCATGTTCACAAAATCTTCTCACGGTGTTCTGGTTCTCACAGGAAGAAAGCTGTAACGTCGTCCTTTGTTTAGAGAATTATGTCACACTTAGAAAATTTTCTGTTTAGGGGGATTTACTTATTACCACAGGGAAGCCAATTGTTTTACCAGATTATATGCTTGTGGTGCGAGTCTTTTTTGCAGCATCAACTTTTTTGGCCTCTTGAGATTTATAATCGCTGCAGACATAACATTTTTTGTTGTTGTGTGTTAGTGTTTGTATTTTTTTTTTCTAGCCGTTTACAATCGCATGTGAAATTTACATCAACATTTACTGTACAAACCCTCATTGCCCCATGCCGTTTAGTATTCACAACAAAAACAGTTGGCATGTACAATGGTAAAGATGCAGCTGTTTTTTCATTAACTCCACTCCTAAAATAATACATTTTTGGGCATCCAGAAAAAAACAGAATTGGTTTGTTTTGTAGTTCCAAGGCTCCAGTAGCTACATTCATAGGTGCTCTTTATTTGATGTTGCTGTATACTTGTATTTTCACTCTAAGAACATTAAAGCCCATCTTCAGACAAATATAAACCCCCTGCAACTGTTTGCTGGCATGACAAAAAAACCCTAAAAGATCCAATTGCCCTTATTACCTACCCATGGTCATATCCCATGGATTACCTGATGCCCCAGTCCCGAGTCTTCTCTCTTCCTTTGTTTACAGGAGGTAGGGTCCTTGTTTGTTTGTCCACATAAATGCCTGCACAATGTGAACACTTCCTAATGGTTGTCCAGGGCCAAGGTCCTCTCCGCATTCAGAGTAGGAGTCTGCAGTGGTGACATTAGTGCCAGGGTACATGTTAGGGACTAACCAGCATGGGCACATCTGCAGTGCCGGAATAGTGGTACTCTGCACTTAAAAACAGTGCCACCATGTGATCTTGAACGATTTAGGCAAGCCTTTCTTCAAAAGGTAAGAAAGAAAAAAAATAAAATGTGCCGGATGGTTTTTTTTTGTTTTTTTTTGTTTTTTTTGGCCTTGTAATGGGCTTTAATCTGTTGCAACGTGTCCCAAGCTCAGGAGATGGGAGAGTTACAAAAGTTATATCATAGAAGAGTTTCTTTGGTGATCTTTTACATCTTAAAGCTGTGAAGACATTCTTTCCCTTATACATTTGACTCTTTAACATATCACTTTGTAAGATTATCTACATTGCATGCTATTTCGAGCCGAAATGATTGCATGCTGTGGCTTGTAATAATTTTTTTATGTGTCAAAGGAATGTGTAAGGGACTGCCTCACAAATCACTGTTAAACACAGCGTACTACAAGCTGCTTCACAAGTGGAAAGACTAAAATATGCATTAAAACATTAAATACATGTGGAATGGCTGCTATAACATTGCAGGCAGTGATGTCATCTGTACCAGAGCTGTATTCTATGAATGTTTTAAACTGAGGCCTAGGCTTGTTGGCCTTCATTTTCATTGCATAATGTAGGAATGAACGAAGAGAAAGGGTACACTGAAACTTTGTCATATTTGTACTAGTAAGCATTGGATGCGCTGTGTTTCATTTTTATATTACAAGATGCTTAAATCCAGAAGCTGTTGGTAGGTTAAATGTGGAAGATTAACAGGATTTGACGATGTGTCTCAGATGACTCCAGCATTAAATAAATGATAAATGGCCCCAGCCTGTTCTATAGTGTACGCTCTGCAGGGAAATCTTTCCACTATGAATAAGTAAACATAGAAGTGACGATTACAGCCAGTGGGTGATACTTTGTAACTACCACTGTTTATTTTTATTTTTTTAACATTGCAGTGAGAATTTAAAACAATAAAATAATGTATTAAAAACATGGAAAGAGATTTTTGCAGCTCGAGTTAACCTGTTGCTCATGCAGCACAATAGTCCAATCTTCTACATATGTCCGACAGCTCCACTTCTGCTCTACTTTTCATAAATCAATTTTACAACGGTGTCTCAACATCTGTATTTTTATGTACATTTACTTGCTATTTCTAATTCTATCGGTTTGCCTTACACTTGCCTTTTAATACTTATTTTTCCTTACTATATTTTGAGCCTTTATTTTTCTTTACTATATTTTGCAAGAGAATATGTTTTCAAGTCTTTTTAAGAGAACCACTCAATATTGGGCATTTGTATTAATCTAAATCTCCACTCTTGACTTAGTATTATTTTATATTTATTTTCTACATACACCGTTCAGCCATAACATTGTGACCACACACCTAATATTGCGTAGGTCCCCCTTTTGTCACCAAAACAGCCCTGACCTGTCAAGGCATGGACTCCAGTAGATCTCTGAAGGTGTTCTGTGGTATCTGGCACCAAGCCGTCAGTAGCAGATCCTTCCTTCAAATCCTGTATATTGTGAGGTTGGGCCTCCATGGATTGGACTTGTTTTTCCAGCACATCCCACAGATGCTTGATTGGATTGAGATCTGGAGGCCAAGTCAACACCTCTAACTTGTGTTCCTCAAATCATTCTAGAACCATTTTTACAGTGTGGCAGGGCTCATTATCCTGCTGAAAGGGGCCACTGACTTCAGGGAATACGGTTTCCAGGAAGGGGTGTACTTGGTCAGCAACAATATCTGGGTAGGTGGTATGTGTCAGAGTAACATCCACATAAGGAAGGATGTTACTCTGACCCATACCACAGGAAGGAAACCTATGAATGGGAAGGAAACCTATGAATGCCTGTGAAGATTATAAACAGTTAGAGCTGCCCCTCCTAAATTAATGTTTACAAACATTCATTAAATAAGAAACTCTCTTATGTGACCCTAAAATGGCCCTGATATAGGACAACCTGTAAAAGAATAGGCTCTATGCCTTCTTTCCAGCAACCCTTGTGTTGAAGTGCCTCCACAATGCTGCTCCCGGCCACTGCATCTATTCCACACTACTGGGGGTGTAGAATAGCTGCTCCGCTGCTACATGCGTTGGTTCCTCAGAACCACATCATGCAGTGGGGGCAGGTAGGTATTAGACTCGCATGAAAGTGAATACATGAATCAAGCAAGAAACAGTCTACAAGTCTCGATCTATCGATCTTCATAAATATCTCTTTATACCGGCATGTGTCTTAAATCATCTGACGTGTAATTTATAAACGGGTCAAGTTTAAATAGACTACAGATTCCCCTTAACCGATTATGGCTTTCCCCTTGATCCTGTCTGTAAAGCTGATAAATCCAGTTGTCACAAATAGCAAAGGGACAAGGCTTCGGCTCATTTACTGTTATACTCTAATTGAGAGATAAGATGGTTGATAGAATGCTAGTGGGGAAAAACATAAACAAGAAGATTCTAGGCTTCCCCTCTTGAGTCCCAATTTGGCTGACGGATGGATGCAGGGAATTCTCCAGTAAAAAATGTACCGCATGCAGAAAACAGTCACTTCTAACAAATGGATGCGCTATGTACTTCATGTCTGCAGAGTCCAGTTGTCACAAGTTATACATGTCCTAGTACACCCATCCTTTCTTTAGTCTTTATAAATTGATTTTGCTTTTAATTGTAAGAAAATTATTAATATTATTGTTGCAATCTTCTTTTTTTTTTTTATTCACTTTCTTTTTAGATCCATAGCACTTACCTTGAGAGTAACTGGCCAATTAGGGTGAGTAAACCGTTTTCAGATTCAAGAATCTCTATAGTTTAATGTTAAAACTGTTGTGAAGAAAAACATATCTGTGTTGCCTGTACCTACCAGTCACATTCTTAACCCCTTCGTTACGGGAGACGTACACTGTACGTCCAGCCACAAAGGGACCAAATGACTCGTCACGTACACTGTACGTGACGAGTTATTTGCTGCACTAGAAGGCTGCTAACCGCTGAGAATCAGCGGTTACCTTTCAGTAATAGATGTCTAACTATCTAGAGATCCATTACTGAAAGGGTTAACCTTTTTCAGACACCCGATACCTTAATATCGGGTGTCTGAGAGTCACAGCAAAGCGGACACACATGTCGGCTTTTGCCGGCATTCTGACAGCTCGTATAGATCGAGAGATATCTCTCTCAAGCTATACTGGCTTTTTTTTTTTTTATCTTTTGACTTTCAAGAATAGATACAAAATGTTATGTATTAGACACATAATGTATCTATTCTTGAAAGTAGAATGTTTAAGTTTTCTGAAACATTCACTGACAGCTGAATCCTGAACTGCTGCAGGATCAGTGTCACTAACTTATTATCGGCTGTTCTGAAGTTTGAAGCAGCCTGATAATAAAAAAAATGTATTAATTTATCAAGCAGTAATAGTGAGATTAATTCACAATGACTGCCTGATATAATTAAATAAATAAAATTTGTCAGTATAAAAAAAGTGAAAAGTGTAAATAAATTAAAAAAAATAGTGAAAAGTGTAAAAAAATTAAAAATAAGGGACAAATAAATGAATGTATGTATTGCATTTTTTTTTAGCTGTGCTGGTTTTGTTAAAAAAAAATACTACAAATCAAAACTGGGAAAAAAAGTTTTTTTTTACGTTTTTTCCTCTTTTTTTAATTTGTATTTGTCCTAAGTGAGGCGTTAGACACACATATGTGATATAAATATATAGCCCTATCTGTCCTCTAAAAAACAATATATAATATGTGTGGGTGCACTTTGTAAGAAAGTATATTACTGACGTGGAAGAATCACACAGCAAAAATGTCAAAAGTGTGTCAGTCATTTACGAACAGAAACTAAAAACAAGCTCAGTCATGAAGGGGTTAATGACATTTTATAGGACGAGCAGCAACATAAAACCATTTGTTACACAATCACCTCTATGAAAGTATTTTAATTTTATAGCTGAACATTGGTGCCCAATAGTACCAAAACTAACAGGAAAATAGCCTAAATAGTACAAATACTGACTTACTACAAGAATGGAGCAGTGAATAGACTGCAGCCGATTATTTACCACATGCTAACTATGTAACTGCTTTCATACTACAACTCCTAACTTGCGTTGTGTCGGTGCCATATGTTGGGACATGCAGGGGTTGGTAAAGAGGAAGTTTTTATATTAGTAAGGTTTTACCTTTAGTGTGTGCTTTTTTTTTTTGATTGCTGGTTAGTCGGTTGGAAGGCCCGTATTGTATGCCTGTGATTTCCCTGCAACTGGACTTGTTTTCTATTCCTAGCCTACCATGTCTTGTTCTGCATTGAGACTCTGTGAGGAGGTAGCCAGGCTGCAGGGCTTTGCTCCCTCATGTCAAAGCTGCCCACTGATGACTGCTGATTTAATGTATGGAGGAATAATCAAGGAACAGCAGAAGAGCATTAGAAAAGTCAGGTCCACATAATGAATAAAGCAGACAGGGCGATGCATGCAGTCCTTGGTTACAGCCTCGTCTCCTACAAGAACAGTGAGCGTAGTAGTGGCACAACCAAATCTCAGGAGACTAACAGTCACAGGCAGCAATTCACAGTTATGAAGCTGTAAGCACAGAAGTGCCTATGAACACTTGCATGTCAGGAAGCGCACTATTTTCAGGACAGGTAGAATTTTTTTAGGTTCAGATCCACTTTAACCCCACAAGGACCCTTTTGCTGCCAAGGCCTTTTTTCATTTTTTGCACACATTATATTCCACATTTTAGGTCTGAAAATGACTTGAACCCCCCAAACATTATATATTTTCTGAAAGCCACAACCCTGCTGATATAAAATGGTGGCAGTTACAAATTTGTATGTTGCACAATATTAGCTCAACTCTTTATCAAACCCAGAAATGTAGTGAAAAGTGCCCCAAAGCACAATGTATTGCCCCAAAGCACAATGTAATACTAATTTGTTTTGTAAAATATAAAAGATGAGGTTACAACGAGTAAATAGATATCCAACATGCCCAGGTTAAAAATTGTGTGCATCCGTGAACAAAATTCAGTACCCCAAAAAGTCCATAGACAATGCTTTAATAGACCCCACACGTCATCAGTTTAGAGATGCACATAAATATTGGCCCTAGAATTATTGCTCTTACTCTGGCATGTGCGGCGATACCCAACATGTGTAGCGCGATTGTCATTTTCGTACGTAGGCGCACCCAATGTGTTTACGTGAAAATGCCCGTGGGGGCAGGGGACTTTAAACAAATATATTTTATTGTTTTTACATTTTATTTAATTTTCTTTTTTAAAACTGTTCCACTTGAAATAAGCTATTGAAGTGCAGATCTCACTTCAATAGCTTATTGCTCGGCTTCAGGAGCCCAGCAATGACAGTTCAGGGACCTGAAGTGATGTAATGTGCATCGCTCCTGGTCCCATACAACAGGAAGGAGATCGTTGAACGGAAGTTCGCTGCTCTCCTCCCCAGCTTCCCTCCGGCATCAGACATGACGGTTCCGGGCCCACAGGAGGGGCAATGGAGCTCGGGAAACTTTACCGGCCCGTTGAAGCTATCTGGCGGCAGCCGAGCTGCCAGAATCGCTTTGATTGTAAAGTCAGCCGCCGAGAATCTGTTTAAACAGGCCCGCTGCCAATGACATACTATGTAGAGTTAAGCAAATAACATGATCTATTCTTGTATGCTGACAAACTCTCATTGAAGCCTGTATTTTTTTCACTTAGCCTGAAACTCAACTTTAAGTAAGCCTCTTTCTTTTACAGTATTCTGCCATAGACAAGGCTGGGCAAAATGTTGCTGTTGTTGGAAAATTTGGATTTGCACATTATTCTTTGGTCACCAAAAAATGGAAGCTGTTTGGAAATATTACACAGGCAAGTCTGTAATTTTCTTCCTCGTCTTCCTCCCCACATTTCCCCTGCCTCCCCCTTCCCTCCTTCCCTCCTTCCTTCCTCAGTTTCCCTTCTTCCTTTCTCCCTCCCTTTCCTTTCCCTTCACTCCTTCCTTCCTTCTCTCCATTGCCCTTGCTTTTCTTTCTTTCTTTCCTTCCTTTTCCTTTCTTTTTTCCCCCCTCTTCCCTTTTATTCATTGCACATTTTACTGCAACACAGTTGAACCCAATAAATGAATTGGAATGATTTGTCTCTTCTGATTTTATTTATTCTTCTTTAGGAGCAGAACATGACAGTGACAGGAGGTCTTGCTTGGTGGAATGATTTCATAGTTCTAGCATGTTACAATATAAATGATCATCAGGAAGAGGTGAGAAAATGGGTTGAGAAAATATTTTTGCTCATATTCCTTATATGTTGCATAAGATTATTTCATTTTAGGAGCATACAGCTTTTTAAAGTAAATGAGGGTTCTGAAATTGAAAGAGCATATGCTGTTATACTTTTTATCTCCCTACAAAATATAAAAAGGTTTAACACTTTTTTGGGTTTTTCTTTTAAGCTTCGGGCCTATCTTCGTACTTCCAACTTGGACAATGCCTTTGCACACGTGACCAAAGTGCAGCTGGAGACTCTCCTTCTCAGTGTGTTCAGAAATATGATGATCCTTTTTCGAGCAGACTGCTCTATCTGTCTCTACAGTATTGAAAGAAGATCTGAAGGGTGAGTACAGATGGCTATCGGTTTCTCTTACATTTGGCTTAGAGAGAATTTCCATTCAGCTATGCTTTAACTTGCAGTTAAAAATCCCATCTACACTACACGCTTTTTAACTCAAACTGAAAAGCATCAATAGCTCTACAGGCACTATTTCCAAGCCAGCCAATAGACTTTGGTAATCTATTGGGATCAGCGATGACCATCGAGTAAACTAGTTTTGTTACATTTTAATATGCAAGATACTACTGGGACAGTAGTCACCCGTTGGGCCCATTCAGACTGGATGAATTGGCGCTGTTCTTTCCAGTACAGTCACATCACAAAACAAGGCAAATTGCCTTGTTGAGGATGGGCTCAGTTCACACCACCGCATTGTGATGGTGTGCACTGAGGAAAGGTTACGGCATGCAGTACTTTTTTTCAACACAGCAAAGTGCAACGCGATACAATAGCATTGGGCTGTGCCCTTAGAATTTAATGAAATGTCACTTGTGACATTTGAATAAAGTTGCAACAATAAAAAAAAGTAAACGGTGTGATGCATCACAATCATCGCACCAGCACCAGCCATGTGTTGTGTTGTAGTGCAGCTGCTGGTTTGAATGGGCAGACAAATGGGGTCCTGGATACACCAATATCATCAATTTCTCACTGCCCTAATTTTCAACTCTTCTTTTCTACCTGGAGTTTTAGGTGTTTGGTGACATCATTTATATAGGCCCTGGCAGGTGTACAGACCCAGGAACTCAAGCACAGAGATTTCCTTGATAGATAAAATAAACTGGTAAAGCGAATATGTATAGTTCTGAATAACAAAAGGATTGGTTAAAACTAGGGTTCAGCTTTGTAAAGTGTTTAGGGGTTTTATAAATCGGCTTACAGACATCTTTTATTCTGTTTCCTAATCATCATTCTCTCTGCCTGGGAGCACCTAGGTAGCAAGGAGGCTTTTATAGAAAAACATGACATTTTATTATATTTCTGAAGAATTTAGGTATCAAAGTTGTGCTTATGCATCGTGTAAGAGAAAACCATTGTTTTAGCCTGGTAAAGTGCTATCATGAGCCGCTGTTCATACACATGGAGTACTATTGTATGGTATACTGTATCATGAGGACCAGTTGCTAGAGATTGCTATGCTTGCATGGGGTGCATGGAATGCATTTCTAATCTAAATCTTTTGTAAATTGTTTACTTTGCTTGATAAAATTATATTTTCTTTTAAACAGTAATAAAACCTATATTTTGTGTTTTTTGTGTTTCCTGTGTCCATTTGTGTGATACCCTCTTGCATATCTGTTCATCTTTTCTTCTGCAGGCCACATCCTTCAGTGTGTTTACAAGTCCTGCAGGAGGTGTCCATGTCTCGGTACATACCTCACCCGTCTCTTGTAGTGTCAGTCACCTTAACTTCAGTGAGAACAGAGACCGGTATCTCGTTAAAAATGTCTCAACAGGTATGGTGCTATAAGTAACAATTCAGTTTGTGTCTCTTTTATAATTATCCATTCTCTCTTTGTTACATTGCTAATTACAGCAATTAGTGTAATGGACTATTTTATATTTGCTGAACTGTGCATGGGGAATCCTTTTTAATCGCTGATGTTTCCAGATTCAGGAGAGTATACTTTTATGTTGCTCACAGCAAACAGCCTTTGACTGCTACTGTCACAGTCCAGGCTTAACTGTAAGTCGTAGATTATTAGTTGATGGTTGTCAGTAAGGTCACCAGAATTAGTGTCCCCATTGGGGGATTTCCCATCTATTCCTGTTCTGATGACAACCCAAAATGTGGGATTTTCTTTCAGTTTCAGTGATAACGGTCACCAGGACAAATAGATAGGGGGAATCTCCCTAAAGTTGCCCATACACCTTGCAATCATCTGACGAAACTTTTCGTCCAATCATACCGCTGTACGATTTTCGTAAGTCGGCCCCATCCTGCACCGATTATCACAAGGTTGAATCAGCAGTAATTAAAAGAAAGCACCTGGACAAATTCCGGTAATCGACCGCACGTATTTTCGTCTGCACGGGAGCAGTGTAAATCGTACGAAATTTGACATACGGAAACGCCACCAACCTTGCGAAAATCATACGATCGACCAAAGTTTTCTAACCTGCTGGTTAGTCGATCGATTGTACAGTATTCGCAGTTGTACACTGCCCATCAACCGTACGAATATTGGACGAAAGCAAGATCACATACGAAAATTGGCCAATGTTCGTAAGGTGTATGGGCAGCTTAACAGGGACACCCACAGTAATAAAAACCTGAAATGTGTTCCAATTCCTCTCCACTTTATCCAAAACCCCCCAAAAATTGGCTTCAGTTACATTTGATTTTGAGTCAATACAGAATAACGCTATTTATAGAATGATCTGGTTTTTCTTTTTCTATTTCAGGCGTGTGATGCAGAAAGCATAATGTTGAACCTAGCTGGGCAGCTAATAATGTTGCAGAGAGATCGCTCAGGTCCTCAGATTCGGGAAAAAGATGCTGCATCCCAACAGAAAAAGCTGGTATGTAATGGGGAGCCGTCTTATGTAAGAGGAAATGTATGTGTCTAGCACCCCCTACAGGAGGTTTGTTACTTAGAAATTCAGCATAGAAAGCAGATTTACAGTATGTGTGCGCTTTAAGTTGGTTTAGCTCATTCTAGGGACACTTCAGAATACTACTATTTGTGTTCTGTCATTTTACAAATTTGAGAACAGAAATGGGGGAAAGGTGGCATGAATACATATCTGCTGGAGACCTTTTCTTTAACTGATAACTCTCTTAAGCCATTTTCACATTTCAGCTTAGTGTTCTGTCTGTGATGCTGATTCTCTTCCTCCAGTAGCATTAGGTCACCGATCCAGAAAAGGAATGCAGACTTTTCTCTAACCTTCCTGACATGATCCTGTTCTGGGTCATTGACCTGAGATGTGCCAAAGGGTCAGCATGAGGGTCTGGTAACTACCATTTTCAGGATGAGGTCAGTCCTTGTACTTCTCTCCTGTCAGCCATACTTTTTCTAGGTGCAGTGCCAATATCCTACTTAGATGAATGAAGTTTAAGCTACCTCATACAATTATTAATTGTATGTATTTATTGTCCCTGTGTGTTCTTTTCAGCTGCCATTTTGTGCTCCAGTGGTCCTGGCTCAGTCTGTGGAAAATGTATGGAGCACCTGTAGAGTGAACAAGCAAAAGCGCCATCTTCTGGAGGCTCTCTGGCTCAGCTGTGGTGGAGCAGGCATGAAAGTTTGGCTTCCCTTGTTTCCCAGAGACAATCGCAAACCACATTCCTTCCTGTCCAAACGGATAATGCTGCCTTTCCACATCAACATCTACCCACTGGCTGTTTTGTTTGAAGATGCCCTGGTACTGGGGGCCATCAATGAGACTGTTGCTTATGACTGTTTGAACAACCTTAGCTCTCCTGCTGAGCATTTGGAGGTTCAGTTCCCCTATTGTATCGTAGAGAGGACCTCACAGATCTACCTCCACCATATCCTACGACAGCTCTTAGTCAGGAACTTAGGAGAGCAAGCTTTGCTCTTAGCCCATTCATGTGCCTCTTTACCTTACTTCCCACACGTGCTAGAGCTCATGCTCCATGAAGTATTGGAAGAAGAAGCTACCTCACGGGAGCCTATTCCCGACCCGCTGCTTCCCACAGTGGCCAAGTTCATCACAGAATTCCCCCTCTTTTTGCAGACTGTTGTTCATTGCGCACGCAAGACAGAGTATGCCCTTTGGAACTATCTTTTTGCTGCTGTGGGTAACCCTAAAGACTTGTTTGAGGAGTGCCTAATGGCTGAGGACCTTGACACAGCTGCCTCATATCTCATTATCCTCCAGGTAGCCTTCTATGTCATTTTCATCACCATTTACAAGTTAAAAAAAAAATCATAATAGGGTCTTTTTTTAACTATAATTTGGGTATAAAGCTATCGCCTCAGAAATGTTTAGATTGTTTTGAGCTACATAAGTATTTTACCCTCTTCTTTGTGATTCTGTTTTCATTTCTTTGGTGTATTTATTCGTTTTCACTTTTATGCTTTAAAGTATAACTAAAGGCAATTTTTTTGAGGGGTGGTGAGGGACTAGAACAACTGTTGAAATCTTCCAATAGGGGCACCTTTTCCTATTACAGCTTTTTAAGAGAAGATTTCCTTCACATTGGAACAATATCCTCTTCCTTCCTGTTGAGTCTACAGGACAGGAATTTGATAGAAATCTCCTGAAACGGGAGTAACCAAACTTTGGCCCTCCCGTTGTGTTGAAACTACAAATACAGTACCATTATGCATCTGCCTCTGGATGTCAATGTCTGTGGTTGTCAGCGTCTTGCAGTGCCTCATGGGATTTGTGGTTTCACCACATTTTAGAGGGCTGAAGTTTGGCTACCCCTATTCTATAAATGGTGAAATAAAAGTGGACAGCAGTTTAAGCCCTTGCCTACTCTATCCAATATGAGAAAAAAAATGGGATTTAGATATACTTTAAATGCTCTGAGAATAGTTGGTCGTAAAAGAGGTCCGTGCTGGAAAGGGTTAGAGCCTTTGTCGAGTTTTTATAGCTGCCTGTGTCCCTGTTACAGAGATTTTTCTTGCTTCTGTTTACTGGGACAGAAAGTTAGTCCACGTTTCCTTCCACGTAGTGTAACTAAAACAGGAAGTTATGGGACGACTTTTCAGTATGGACAGTAAAATCCTGACAAAGGTTCTAAAGTACAAAAAAACAAAAACTGGAATTAGACTTTATTCCAAGCTGGGAGATTCTGTCTCAAGTGTGCAGTATGTTAGTACAGTGTTACCAACATCCTTGCAGCACTGTGATGCCAACTTACTGCCTTATCCCTTGTTTGTCAAGATTTTTTGGAGGGCTTAATTGAATTCTAACTAATCTGTCCTTTTATGCTGTGTGAACTTGTGTGCCTGTTCTAAAGACAGTCGTTTTTGTTAGTAGGTATGAATGTTGAATATAAACTTTATATGTCCTTACATATGAATACCATATCTTTATATTAAAGTGTATTTTCACTTTTGCAGTCAAATTTTAGGAAACCCTAGAAATGTTTGTGTGTATATATTCCCACAGCATACCGAAAAAAAAAAAGTATTTCTTACCTTTTTAGATGTTTTGTTGCAGCAGGCAACATGGCTGAGTCCAGGATTTTTCTAGCACATGCACAGAGTCCTTATAGAAAGACTTGGGACTGAGATTTGATTATTGTGTTTCTCTCATTAACATACAATGGAAACCCCCCATCCTAAAATTACAAAGGAGAAGCAAGTAGAGATTTTAACCCTTAAGAAGCCAAGAAGACTTAACCCAAGCAAAAACAATTTAAACTGCAAGCAGCATTTTTTAAATATTTTTTTTTCCGCTTATGTGATGTGAATGAGAACATGTAACAAACATAAAATAGGCTTTATCCCAATTTGGCTGCAAAAGTGCAACCAGCTTGACCTTTCAGATATAAGTAGAACATAAGTAGCGTGCTTCCAGTTGGTTGGCTTAGACAACTCTTGTGTGTAATATGTTAATTTGGACATATATTGGTACTGTATGGTTTGAATTTAAAAAAAAAGAGATTCAGTGTGCAATTAGAATATTTTTACTGTATTTTTTAGACTTGTTCCACTTAGCAGAAAACTAATGATTTGAAGTTGCAGTCTCCAATGAAAGGTTGTCTCTATTCTTCTTCCTGGTCCCAGCTCATCTCCTGGCAGCGAGAGCAAACGTTCTCCCAAGACTAAGTTGTGTTTATGTAATGAGCCCATCCTGTATGATGACGTGCCATGGGAAAGAACACATGGGTTCATTTTAGTAGCTCAAGTTACACAAGCGTCATGTAGTAGTAATTGCACACACGTGATGGTAATGTCCATAAAATAGATTTTCCTTTCATTGCTACTACATGCTATTTGCCTAATTTACACTATTTAGTTATTCCATTTGTGTAGCAATGTATCCCATATAATTGTAATTATTGCAACCAATTTCAGTATTGCTAACAGTAGTGAGATTGAAGTAATAGCATTTGCCAGTGTGTTCTTGCCCTTTTTAAATCACTCATCTTCACTGACATGTCTGTTTTGCTTGCAGAATATGGAGGCAGCAGCAGTGAGCAGACAGCATGCTACCCTTCTGTTTAACACTGCGCTGGAGCAAGGGAAGTGGGATCTCTGCAGGCATATGATACGATTTCTGAAAGCCATAGGCTCAGGGGAATGTGAAACTCCTCCTGCTACTCCGACTTCACAGGTTACTGTTGTTATCATTCTTTGCATAGCTCTAACTTAATAATACATTTCTGTATCTTCAGGAAATCCTCTTCAAATATAAATATACCGTGTTTCCCCGAAAATAAGACAGTGTCTTATTTTTTTTTTTTGCACGAATCACTCACATACACACTCACATACACACTCACTCTCTATTGTCAAAAGTATTGGGACACCGCTCCAAATCATTGGATTCAGGTGTTCCAATCACCTCCATGGCCCAGGTGTATAAAATCAACATCCTAGGCATGCAGACTGCTTCTACAAACATTTGTGAAAGAATGGGTCGCTCTCAGGAGCTCAGTGAATTCATGCGTGGTACCGTGATAGGTTGCCACCTGTGCAATAAGTCCATCGGTGCATTTCCTTGCTACTAAATATTCCGCTGTCACCTGTTAGTGGTATTATAACAAAGTGGAAGCAACTGGGCCACGTAAAAGGACAGAGAGGGGTCAGCGCATGCTGAAGCACACAGTGCGCAGAAGTCTCCAACTGTCTGCAGAATCAATAGCTACAGACCTCCAAACTTCGTGTGGCCTTCAGATTGGCACAACAACAGTGCGTGGAGAGCTTCATGGAATGAGTTTCCATGGCCGAGCAGCTGCATCCAAGCCTTACATCACCAAGTGCAATGCAAAGTGTCGGATGCAGTGGTGTAAAGCACGCCACCACTGGACTCTAGAGTAGTGGAGACGCATTCTCTGGAGTGACGAATCACTCTTCTCTGTCTGGCAATCCGATGGACATGTCTGGGTTTGGCGGTTGCCAGGAGAACGGTACTTGCCTGACTGCATTGTGCCAAGTTTAAAGTTTGGTGGAGGGGGGATTATGGTGTGGGGTTGTTTTTCAGGGGTTGGGCTTCGCCCCTTAGTTCCAGTGAAGGGAACTCTTAAGGCATCAGCATACCAAGACATTTTGGGCCATTTCATGCTCCCAACTTTGTGGGAACAGTTTGGGGATGGCCCCTTCCTGTTCCAACATGACTGCGCACCAGTGTACAAAGCAAGGTCCATAAAGACATGGATGAGCGAGTTTGGGGTGGAGGAACTTGATTGGCCTGCACAGAGTCCTGAACTCAACCCGATAGAACACCTTTGGGATGAATTAGAGCGGAGACTGTGAGCCAGGCCTTCTCGTGCAACATCCGTACCTGACCTCACAAATGCTCTTCTGGAAGAACGGTCAAACATTCCTATAGGCACACTCCTAAACCTTGTGGACGCCTTCCCTGAAGAGTTGAAGCTGTTATAGCGGCAAAGAGTGGGCCAACTCAATATTGAGCCCTACGGACTAAGACTGGGATGCCATGACAGTTCATGTGCGTGTAAAGGCGGGCGTCCCAATACTTTTGGCAATAGTGTGTGTGTGTGTTATGTTCTGCATTACAAAATGACGGACAGAACAATCCTGATGATTATTAGCTGCCCAGATAAGGCCAGCCTCGTAGAGACATTTTACCAAGGAAACTGTACAGCTGTGACACTAAGCCCTGGTTCACACCTAGGCGTATTGCATATGCGCGGTTGTCGTGCGTTTTTTACCGCGTTTCGCGGTAAAAAAAAGCGTGCGACAAACGCGCTTTTCCGAGGGCTACTTGGCTGTATCCCAATGGAAACGCACAACAAAAACGGCCCAAAGTAGTACATGTACCTTTTCAGGCGTGGGCCGTTTTGTAGCGTGTTAGGGACGGGCTGAAATACGCCAAGGTGTGAACCAGACCCATTGAATACAATGGGATTTAGATGTTTGAGCGTTTTGTAGAGCGTTCGTCAAGCGTAGAACGGGGGCTTAGTATAGCCTGCTTTATCTCCTAGGGCTCATGGCGACTGGCACTCTATTCAAAAGCTGTGTCTGCTATTCCTCAGTAGAACATGCTGTGGCTGAAGAAAAAAGCAGGTCAAACGCATCCTCTGAACTGCCATATGTAATGCTCAATTGAAGTCTACAGGATTTGATGTGCATTCCAAATGCATGTCAAATACAGGAAAACAGTGCCTGTCGTCATGAGCCCTTAAAGTGACTCAGTTGAATCCTGTAAAGAAGGAATATACTTACCAGTGCCTGCACCACCAAACACCCCTTTGATAAAGAGTAATAAACTGCTAAAAGTTTGAGGTACCTCCACATTGGTTCCATGTCCTGTAGTGAATAATTTTTATTTTTGCACATTTTCCCCCCCACATTAACTTTTACAGTAATACTGTTTGTATGTGCGGCTTTGGCGTCGGGAACAAATTCCATTCATAGCCAGTACTATTTGTTAGATAAATAACTATGCAAATGTACATTATATGACTTGACTAGATGCTTCTCACTTCCTGGTTCACCAGTAGAATAGAATAGGCCAAAGACAAACTAAAAGGAAGTCCTTTTACATATAGAAGCATTGGGGGTTTTCCCCATGTACTCTATATAGGGTACCCAGATATACCTTGGGACTAGAGATAAAACGTGTAGAAACTGAAGCATGTCTTAATGACAGAATAATATATTCCCTGTTACAATGATCTATAGAGCTATGTTCAAATATTTGCAGGTATGGTTGAAAACTGACCTTTTTTTTTCCATTTTCACCCAGGAGCCCAGTTCTTCTGGTGGGTTTGAATTCTTTCGAAATCGCAGCATAAGTTTGTCACAGGGTGCTGAGAATCTTGCTGTGGGAAAAATTAACCTCCAGAAAGCACTGAGCATGCCATCTGGCCCAGCAGGCAAACGGTAAAGCTGATCTGAAATTAATTCAAATAAAAAAAATAATGTTTTTACAACCGTATGACTTGGGAAGCTCCCACTATTCCCTGAGGTTCCCAAGTAATGCCATCAATGTCTTTTCTGTGACACAGAGGGATCTCTTGGCTGGCTGACATTTTACTGGAGCCAGGGTTAGGTGGATGAAATAATTCTTATATATATCTGCATTTCTCATACTACTGGAAACAACAAGTGTCACAGTTATTGGCATATTTCAATATTGTCATCTAACAGTCTTTCAGGCAGGAACAAAGAAACAAACAAAAAAATACATACAGAGGGGGATTTAACAAAACTGGAGCAGTTGCCCAGGGCAACCAATCAGCTTCATTTTCAAAGCTTAAGTGAGCAAACCTAAGAGAGAAGCTGATTGGTTACTATGCCCCCCCCATAGTACCCTGTTTCCCGAAAATAAGACCTACCCTGAAAATAAGACCTAGTACTATTTTTGGGAATTGCTAAAATATAAGACCTACCCCGAAAATAAGACCTAGCTGTGACCATTCCCAGGGCTGGTGGTGGCATAAGATGGAACTTGAAGAGCTGCGGGAGAGAATTCAGCGGTGCCAACGAAGCCAGATATAGAGGAAGCAAGGCGGCACTGGAGGGAGCAGAGCCGCATAAGCCAATGCCAACTCCTGTCACAGGCGGAGTGATACCAAATGCACTCTGCCTGTGAGGAATCGATAGTGAAAGTGCGCTTCGCTCATTCTGGCCAGCGATTGGTTAGCAAATTGCTCTTGGAAAGGTACGGCACCACTGATCACCATATTTGTGTACATGAATACATGTAGACTGTTGTATATAAATAAGTGTGGATTGTTGTACATAAAAAAATAATTAAGACCTACCCCGAAAATAAGACCTAGTGTGTTTTTTTGAGCCTAGAAAAATATAAGACAGTGTCTTATTTTCGGGGAAACACGGTATGTTACTTTGTTGGTAAAATGTTTGGAGTTTCTTTGATTCTGCATTCAGTCAGAACTCTTTCAGACTACTCTGATTACAAAGGGCAGGTGAAATGACTAGCTAGAACTACTCTTCATATATACAGCTCCATTCTGGTCACCAAGGTATTTTGAGGAGGAGTAACTACATGTGACTATAGTCAGAGGCCTCCACATGTGCCTGACTATTAGAGGTGTAAAGAACCCATAAACAGTTTATTATATTTTTTTATTGTTTTCCTGAAATTGCATTGGGTTATGTTGTAAGGGTGGATTAAATCAAATAGTATTTTTTAAAGGGTTTCTTAAATATAATGCATTCATATAAAAGCCAAACAGATGGATGACCTTAATCCCACACTATGTAATGTAAATGTACTTAAAGAACAACTATAGGCAAATGACAAATGTACCACTGCACTGCAATGGTAAGGGTTAAGTGCTTATTTTAGTCTAGGGTCCACAAAAAAAAAGATATACTTAACCGATCCTGCCTATTAGACCGCTCCCCGCCGCCTCTCTCGCCCTCCCCCTGCGGCAGTCAAATGTCCCTCAGTGTTCCCATGTCTAATGAACTGTATTAGACGTGATGACTCACGGGTCATTAGAATGCCAGAGCCTGGGGGAGAAAAGGCTTCTGGGACACGTCTAGCAACCAGGTAGGACAGTTTCAGGTGAGTAAATCTTCTTTATTTTCATCTCTACACCAAAGCAAGCACTTAACCCTTGCAGTGCGGGGGTAGCCCCACTGCAAGGGTTAATTTGTCATTTGCCTGGAGTGGAAGGTGAGACAAACTCTGTTTTTAATGGATTGCAGCAAAATGTAGTACTGTGTTAGCCATTGTTGGAAACATAAAAATGAAGTTTCAGGTGGTTCTGTCTATGAACGTTGTTGATTAAAGCTGCATGCTTTTGAAGCAGCTCATGTCTCTTCTTTGGGTATAGTAAAGCCTATTTATGGATGGTCAGTTTGTATCACAGCCTGTTTGTTCTTTGTTTAGGTGGAGTAAAGACAGTGACTGTGCAGAGAACATGTACATCGACATGATGCTGTGGCGGCACGCCCGAAGACTACTGGAGGAAATCAGACTCAAGGACCTTGGCTCCTTCTCTGCTCAGCTGGGCTTTGAGTTAATAGGCTGGCTATGCAAAGAGCGAACACGGGCTGCCCGGGTGGAAGACTTTGTCACTGCCTTGAAGACGCTACACAAGGATTTCCTGTGGCCATTTCCTGTTATCCCAGCCTCCTCTATCAGCTCTCCACTTAAGAATGGCAAGTTCCGGACAGGTATAAGACACGTCTGCTCAGTCTCACATCCCGGCCACGCCCCGACAGGTATGCTCCTTGTGTGCTTTTGTGACTTTATGTCCTGGTGGATGTAGTAGACGTATTTGATTTTAGAGTTTCACCAAGTACTCTCACTAGTGTATTTATGGTCACTGTTGTATGAAAATCTGTGTAGGAATGAAAATGCCAAAAATATGAGCTTCTAAATGTGTATATAAAATCCTTTGTGTGAAAATATTCTTATGTGTTTAGTAAAACCTGGTATGTTGCTACTTTACAGTGATTGGCGATCAGTTTCTTAAGTCCCAGTCTGCGGAAAACTTCTTAAACATGGATATGGACAGTGGTGTTCCTAGTGCCCCACGAAGTCACAGTTGGATGGGTAGCATTGGGACCAACCAGAGAGAGATGGACACTGCCTCTTCTCACAGTCCTCACACCCAGGATGCTTTCCTTTCTCCATTGATAAATAAAGGTGGGTGCACCTTTTCAGATACTATCATATTTTGTAGTGTAAATTAACAAGGGAACCAAATAAATTGGAGAGAATATTTGTGTTTGTGCACACCATTTGTGTAAGGCATGTTTATAAGACATCAGTAAATGAAATTATTGTCTGCCTTTGAAAAGCTAGGGACTCTTATAACATCTTCAGGCTTGGGGGAGAAATGTTTGAAGGACAATATCATTAAACGTTCTACGATGAAGCAAGCGCAAAATAAGAGGCCAGTGAAATAAACATACTCTCAGTACCTTTTTTTGAAGCTGTTCAGTGTTTTGGGTACTTAACTTGATAGTAAACTCAGGCATTGAATCTTAAAACTGCATTCAAGTACCTTTTAACTATTAACAAAAATGTCTCTTATTTGTGTATCAGTCAGCTGTACATCCTCCAATCATCTCTGAATTGGTGCTGACACTGTCCTTCCTTCTGGAGGGGGGCTACTTTTGTTCCCCATGGTCCCTGTGTGTGTTGTAAAGTAGCCATCACTCCAAGCTCACTTCTGTGATGGACTACAATCTCAATACAAGATTGTAGTCCATCATGGGAGTGAGTTTGGAGCGGTGGCTACTTTACAACTCAGATTTTAGAATGAAAATGTGTCCAGTTCCCCATAGGAAATTCTCCCAAGTTTTGGTGTAGAGTCGCAAGAAGCACACTTGTAACATTTGGTGTTCCTATCTACTCTTCAGTTTCTAAAGAAAGAGAAATCTTCTCCTGGTGAAAACCAGTGGAAGCCTCCCATAAGGGGACAAAGGAGATTTGGTTGGGGCCAAGATCCCTCTGTTCTGATGGTCCTAAATTTTTCGAAGTGATGGTAGATGAAAAGTCTAGGAGACGATTGACCAGATAACTGCCTGCCATGGACTTCTCCAAGGTAGTCCAAAGGTTGCCCTTAGTGTTTTGGTGTGAATAAACTATTGTAAGCCATTACTTTATAATACAAGTGTAAGTCTGAGAGACCTACACTTATATTTAGCAGATTTGATGACATGGTATTCTAGTGGACTGGAGATCTGTTTATCTCATTATAACACACTATTCTGACCCAAATGTATGATCTGCAGGAGATGAATGTAGCATTGGATCTGCAACTGACCTAACGGAAACAAGCTCTATGGTGGATGGGGATTGGACCATGGTTGATGAGAACTTTTCCACCTTAAGTCTGACCCAGTCAGAGCTTGAACACATTTCAATGGAACTGGCCAATAAGGGACCTCACAAATCACAAGTTCAGATACGGTAAGCAGCAACTTTGTAGTACTGGGGCTGCAGGGCAAATTTAGATTGTCTGTGATGTTCTAGAGGGAAGGAAGATGCAAAGATAAAGAATGTTCCATGAATAATTCCATGAGTAAGTCTTGCCTTCCCTTGGATTCTCACCCACAATCTAAGGTATCATTCCTTGAAAAGGTTGATCTGGAAATTATTTAATTCAGCCCAACAACCCCAATTTAAAGGCTAGATTATTAGTTTGTGATTGGGCCTTCCCTGTGTATCAGTTGGTGGGGTACCTAATAATTTCATTGTTGAGTGTAATGAATTTACAGTGAAACGTATTAACAATAAGTATTACCAATTTGGTTTGCTTGCTGTATACAGGAGAGGAGGGCATATTTGATTTGGAAAGTAGAAATAATGCTTGCACTATAAAATACAAAAGACATTGAGAGAAATGTATCAGAACTGGAGCAGACAAACTCTGGAGCAGTTGCCCAGGGTAACCAATCAGCTTCTATCTTCAGTTTGCTCATTTAAGATTTGAAAATGAAAGAGAGAAGCTGATTGGTTGCCATGCACAGCTGCTCCAGATTTTGTCTGCTCCAGCGTTGATAAATTCCCTTCATTGAGACTAAAAAGGAATAATGCTTAATCCTATAGTTTTTTTAAAAGTTTATATCTTGAGTATACAACATGTTTACTGAGATGTCATAGGTGCAAGACATTTGGATGAAGGGAGCACTATGTACATATTCAGCCCTGATGTCCAGCCACATCCTCTATTCTACTAGAAGTGTAGAGGAGAGAACCTGGTATATATGAAAAGTGTGCCAACAGGAAAATAGGTTTCTGCCTATGACGACTCTTCAGAATCCTTTTTATTTTTACACTGTGCACTCTAAAAATACCTGCAAATTGAGCAATCATTCAATGTACAGTAGTAACAGAATGATGACAGGATTTTTTGTTTTAGATTATATCACTTACAAGGTATTTGGCTTTAAGCTTTGCTCAATGACTTGCACATAAGAGTAACTGTGCATGTATTAAGTGTGGTGTTTGTTTTGTAATATACAAACTTTTGGTTGTACATTTCTGCAGCTACTTACTTCATGTATTCATGGAAGCGGGATGCTTGGAGTGGTGTGTGGTCATTGGTCTTTTATTGCGGGAATCATCCATCATTAACCAGGTTTTAAATCTTATGCAATGCCCTGAGGTTGCAGAAGAGATGCTGCAGGGTATACTTACCGGGCTTCATGCGGTGGACACTTGGGCCACAACTGACTGGTGAGTAGAAAGTTGTGGCTTCCAGGGGAGACTTTTGTAAACAACTGTAGAACATGTGGGCTTTGGTTATACACCAACAACTGTTTTGTGAATGTGCACAGGTCATGGAATATATCTGCCGTCACCACAAGTCTTTTTACATGGTTCCACAGGGGGAAAAAAACTGGACATGTTTCTTTTTTCTAAAACCGTACCCCAACTTCCCAGATTGTTTATCATTCATTTTTGTGTAACAAGTACTTAGCTGAGGAAGGAGTGGTCCATAACACTGGTAGTTTCTTCCTTCCTTTCAATCTCTAAACTGAGGATGACTGTTGGCTGTTTTCACTACATAATTGCAACATTTTATTTTAAATAGTATCTAAAGGCAATTAGTGTTATGTTTTGTATTGATTGGTGATTGGGCTAGAACAGTGATGGCGAACCTTTTTGAGCCGGAGTGCCCAAACTGGATCACTAAACCAACTTGTGTATCTCAAAGTGCCAACCCTTCAATTAGACCTGGATACTCTTAGGTGGGCTCTACAGTTCTGAAGTGGTCTGTACTGGCTCTCAGGGGGATGTGCGGCTCTCAGGTGGGCTCTGTGGGGTTTCTGGTGGTCTGTACAGGCTCTCAGAGGAGCTGTGCAGCTCTCAGACAGTCGATTTATGGCTTTTGGGTGGGCTCTGTGGTCCCTCAGGTGGTATGTATGGGCTCTCTGGGGGGCTGTGCGGCTCTCGGGTGGCCTATAAGGGTTTTCAGGTGGGCTCTCAGGTGGTCTGTTTGGGCTCTCTGGGGGGCTATTCTGCATTGCTGTATAACTATCATACAGCAATGCAGAATACCACCAGCTATGCGGGACTACAAGTCCCAGCAATACATTATAATGAAAGTCAGCACTACATAGCAGAGGCATAACTAGAAACCTAGTCTTCCCCGCAGAAATAATAATTTACTATTGCTGTGGGGAAGGGGGGCAATTATTATCGCTGCCTGGGGGAGAATTGTTTTTAGGCAGGAGTTAATAAATAAAAAAAACCCATGCAGCAATAATAATCACCCCCTGCAGCCGGGACAGAAATTACTATTAGTTATTACCGTATTTGCCAGCGTATAAGACGACTCGGCGTATAAGACGACCCCCCACTTTTTGTGTAAAAAATATAGGTTTTGGGCTATACTCGTCATATAAGATACGAGAGTATAGCCCAAAATAATGTTTAAATGCACTTACTAACCTCCTTGGCGGTATTCCGAAGTGTGGCTCGGGGTTAATTTTCAGTACCATAAGCGGTAACCCCGAGCCACAATAGGGAATACAGTCTCTTACCTTGTCCACGATCCCCGCTGTGTCCTCCGTCTTCCGCCGAGCCAATCACGGCAGGCTTTGTATTTAATGAATACAGGCTTTGAAGACTTAATTGTCGGCTGCCACAGCTCTCCGTGTTCCTCCGCGGCAGCCGAAAATGGTAAAATAGACTTCTGTTGTCAGTTCAGCGGTGGAGAGAGGGAACTACTGTATAACAAAATTAATTGGATTGGGACCGCTATCGCTGCGTCCCTTTGGTAATGCAGACCTGGGCTTGCGTGCCAGCAGAGGGGGCCCCACGTGCCCACTCTGGCACGCGTGCCATAGGTTCGCCACCGCTGGGCTAGAACTTCTGTCACTTTATTACTGTGTGCCTCCCCACTAAGACAATTTACCCTCTCCATTTATCCTAACGGCACTTGTTCCAGTGACAACTGTTGAAGAGGGGTTTCCCTCACTTTAGAGATTTCCTCTCGCATCCTTTTGTGTCTACGGGACAGGAAGTGAAGTTAAATCTCTCAATGGAACACAGATCACTGGAAAAACCAGACTGGTTTGAACCATTCTGTACTGCTAAGTTTGGGGTTTAGATATACTTTAAATTGACAGTCTCGTCAACCCCACAGTGCTACCTTAAAAATGCAGAGGCAATGCCGACCTGCCAAGTGTACAAGTTTTTCACCAAGGTACTAAACCAGCTTCTCTCAACCAGGGTTCTGTGGAACCCTGGGGTACTTCCAAAGGCTGCATGAGTAGATAGAGGAGGGGCAGACTGATCTCTTTTATATACTGACCACCAGTGTAAGCGGTCACTGCAATTTTTGCTGTCTGTTTTCCTTTTCATGGCCATTTGTTATTATTTGTTTCATTTCATGATTAGATTATTTTGTCATCTGAGGGTTTAGGTACACCCCATTCTTGATTTAAAACTTTCTATGAAAGACAAATAGCACCTTGTGCCAATCCCTGAATAGCTGCAAGCACTATAAGAAGTGTTACCCTCTAAATGTATCAAGATATAATTGTATAATATTAGCACATTCGGGTTATCGTATTTGAACACTTTCCATAACCTACTGATCGAGTAACTGTACCATTAGCTGTAGATATATCATTTTTACTGGGGTTCCCCGAGACCTGAAAACATTTTAAGGATTCCTTCATGGGAAAAAAGGTTGAGAAAGGCTGCACTGCACTATATAGTATCCTCTGGTTAAACTTGCAGAGACTCAGGCCCATCCTATTATAATTCTGCAGTATGGTATTGTTCACCCTCCTGGTCCAGCTGCAGGACATGGAACAACGATTAACCACTTGAAGTCCGCGGTGTTAAACCCCCTTCCCATCCAGGCCATTTTTCAGTATTCAGCGCTGCGGTACTTTGACTGACATTTATTCCGTCATGCAGCGCTGTACTGAAATGAATTTTATATAATTTTTTAGGGACAGATAGCGAGGAAAGGTTAGGCGCCATTCATTCTGTACATAATGAAGTTATATTGGTAAGCCGGTCCTTATCTATGTTTATGTTCCCTTTCAGCCCTGGATATAAGCCATTCTTAAATATCATAAAACCTCAGCTGCAGAAACTGAGGGAAGCAACAGTGGAACAAGTGCAGCCTGAAGTGTTTCAGCCCATAGTCATCTCAAAGGTCACAGAACAACCCAGCCCCAGGGCGGAGGAGAGCCGCAGCTCAACCAGCCACAGCACCAGCCCTCAAAGTGACCCGGGCAGCTGTAATGTCAGCAGGCACGAGGAGAATGTGTCTAGACTGGAGCAAGAGGAGGCCTTCCAGGAAGGGAGCTACGATTGCATTATTTCTTAATAAGCAGCAAGCTCTGCAGACTGAAATCACAGCAGTATTACCGACACAGTCAGTCACAAGCGGCTGGTTACACAACTGACACTTCTAATGGGTGTGAGGCAACTTATTTTCAGTGGTTTCCAAGAAACCATCACTAAGATATTTGAAGCCTTATATTTGTTTTGTTTTTTCTTTCTACACCTTTCCTCGCCCCCCAATCCTTTTTTTATTCTTCCTAATGAGAACTCTTCAATGTGTTTGAGGAATTCATTGCTCCCGGATCGTGGAACCGAGCTGCTAAAGAGGATAAATATGCTTCTGATATGTTTGAAGTGCAGCATAAAAGGTCTCTACTACAAATCCGGATAACAAGTCCCCACCCGGTGTGAAAGTGAAATGATAATCCTTCCTCTGGGCATGAATATTGTGGTGTTCAGCCTTTCAATGATTATGATTTCACAGCGGTAATTTGTATAGAAGCCGTTTCTGCTCTCCAGGCAAGAGAAAAGCAATTCAGCCGCCCACTTATTTCAGGTTCTCCAAGCTAACAATCTTAAGAGCCTTGACGGCAGCTTTGGCTGCCACGTCAGCATTTGCATCTCTGATCAAGCAGGGAGCCCAGTTCTCGGTTGACAACAAAAATCCAGATTGCAGGAGCAGACTGAGGTTGCAGAGTATTTTGGGTGCTATGATTTTTCTGAAGAGGTTTGGTATTATAGTGTAAATATCACCGTGTATTTTTGTGAATATTTCTTTCTAAAGATGAGAAAAGATTGTCCTCTCATATTTTGGATCTGTAAGATGATGTTACCGCAGGGCCATCCAATACCGCCTGCCTCCAGCTGGAAAGCCATTTTTTTCTTTGCACTTTGCATTGGACGACAGCTTCTCGAATATCGGTTCATCAGCTACACTGTTCATCTACAGAAATAACATTTTAACTACTGTGACTGAACGCTAAACGGCCCTCCTAGTGTTTTTTTTTTTTAAATAAGGTACAATAAGGTTCTTATTTATTACCTTTGTACAATAATTCATCTGAACATAGGGGTTTTGTAAATAAAATTTGTAATCGTGTTACATGATGCTCTACACAGCGGTAATTTCATCTATAAGCAAAATGTATTTTTGGCCATTTTTTATAAAGTGTATGATTTAGCCTTTATTTTAACTTTCATAGGACATGCCTGTTGGGACAGAAAGACACGAGAAACGAAATGTATGTCATGTGACCGATCATCTCTTGCCGTTTCTTTATCATTTTCACAGATTGGAAATGTAAATGACATCCGAAATCCTCACATAACAGTATTACTCTAAAAAGAAACAGGCCTGTTTGTATTGTGCAATTTGACCTAATAATAATAAAAAGCTTATATGTTATTTTATACATAACATACATGTTTATTTTTATATGAAATCTATTTGACTATTATGCGGACCAAATGCTTCTAGTATCCCATTGGAATGCGGTTTAAGACTTGGTAAATGAGGATCATTAAAACACAGGTTTCACCGAATTAACGTGGGCTGAGGGGAGGGGATATACTTGTGACTGGACAGGAGACAGGCAGCTGCAGGAGAGGGAAAGGTTGGTTTACCACAGATCGTTCAGGCCTCTGGAGACATAACAAAGTTGGAGGCCACCATAGCCAACCTCCTGAAAATGCTGGCTGTCTCTGGATTCATTACGTTTACAGCCATAGACCCGGGGCAAGAATGTTTTTATTTTTAGGAACGTGACTTAGAAAGTCAAAATAAGTGACTTAGAAAGTATTGAAGTCATTGATGGGTATCTAGTATTTTCAGAATGAGATGTTAGAAATGGCAGTACAGGTTTCCCTTAGCATGAAGCAGACACCCACTATAGTTTATTTGTGTCCTAGTCAGTTTTCATACCTTGCCTCTAGGAATGTGTCTATAGGCAGCAGAGGGATATGAGTAGCTTCTCCCAGCTTATGGTCTTCTTTGCACCTGCTTGGTACAACATTTAACCTTCAGTATTGCATGCAGCAGTGTGCATTGTGTTAAGATAGCCCATTCATTTTGAATAGACTAATGCCACACATTACACCAGACTTTTCATTTTTCAGGGCATGGCGTTCTGAAATGCACACGAGTTGAGGTGTGCTGACGAGGTGCATTAGGATGCCATTGAGTTTTTCCGCTCGGGTAGTGGACTAGTTTTGCCATTTTAATTGCAAAATCCTCCCCTTCCCCCTAACTATATTTGATGAATGTGTGCCACCTTGTGAATTAAAATCTGCTGCTATTTCCAATAAAAATCCACTAAGAATGTAATAGCCAGACAACAATTCAACATGATCCTATAAACGGATATACAAAGGTATTGAGTCAATAAATTGAACTGTGCAAAGGTATGCAAAACAAACAATAAGTGACTTAAACCAGAAGCCTTTACTAGTTCATCTATTCAGTGTTGCACTAAAACCAAGCGAGTGCAATGTGTGTTGTCTGTGGTTTTATACCATTTTACAGAATCTTACTTCCTTAGATTTTTCTTTATTTCATTTCAATGAAACCAAAGTTATTGTGGCCCCCGGGTGAAACTTTTGATCACTTTTGCCATTGGCCACCTAGCAAGAGGGTAAAGACCATGACTTATGTAACATTTCACCTGTAGTGAAATGGTTATATATTGTACATACACACAATGGCCTTAAAAGGAGGCCCTCTACCCACCTTCATCATGCTTGCCAGGCCCGAAAAGGGTGTTTTAGGTAAATGATTCAATACACATGAGGCTTGGTTACGTGTTAGCTTCACTATTAAGCCCCATACACACGGGGGTGTTGTGTGTTAGGGAATTTCTGCTGAGAATAGTCCATGAATCCACATAAAGGCCCTGGGTGTATGGGGCCTTACGGTGCATTCCAAAGACATTGCCTGCAGTATCCACAGCATGCTGGATGCTAAAGATCTATTTTTTTTTTTTGCTCTTCCCACTAGGTCCACTACTTCAAGGGGGCTTGAAAGCTAAATGTAACTACTGGGCTGGGAAGCACCCAGCCCCTGCTTGTGTTTGAATATCCAGTAGCCTTGTGCTTGGGGCTCCAATGTAAAAATATTTATCGGGCATTTTACACACTTGAATCACCCCAGGAACTCTGGTGATGATCTCTCAGTTTGGGTTTGCTTCATTTTAAATTATTCCAGCTTTAGTCTTTGAACCCCAATAATAGTGGTAAACCTGTGTTTTAATTGTGGTTTTCTTCTTCCAGACAACATTTCTTCATTCTCTTACAGGCTTCCCTGTAGGAACAACCCTCTCTCTTGGATTTTGTTACAATGCCCAATTCTTAATTCTTTCAGACACTAATGCAAATAAGTGCAATAAATTATTAAAGTAATAAAGCTATGAAAACATACTTTTCCATACATTCGACTTGTTGTGGTTTATTGCTACTTTTGGAGTGCAAGGCCAAGTTTGTATAGGACCGTAGCCAGTCATAACGCTAGATATATGTTTCTAGTGAAATATCCATTTATTGAAAAGCTCAAACTTACAAAACTAACCTTTTGCAGTGCAGGGGTTAAGTGCTCATTTTGGTCTAGGGGCTCAAATAAAGCAGATATACTCACCCAATCCATTGTCCTGACTACCTGTTAGACCGGTCCCCGTAGCCAATTCTCCCCTGGGTCTAAGGACCACTGACATCACCTCCTCTAATGCAGGTCCATTGCCTAGATGTGAGGGAGACATGAGCGCTGACTGTTGCAGGACTGAGGGTCAGGTGAGTATATCTGCTTTGATTGTTCCCCTAGCCCAGAACGAGCACTTGCCCTTGTAGTGGGGCTTTCCCCACACTGCAGGATTAAGTGTTATAAAAGCCTTTAAGGCTTTACAAAGACTGTAGCTATAACCGTGGACATTACTCATGCACAGGCTCTATATTTAGCTATATCATTCATGCCAAGATGAAGGGTGGGGGGGAGGGGAATCATTCGAAGTAGATTTAGAAATGGGCAACACTGGTAATTTACATTAATAATGACAAATATCCAATATAATTTTTTTTTTTTAATATATAACTTTCCAAATTTATTCTCAAGTCCAGAGGTTTCCTGTTTTCAAGATCTGCTAAGGCCTACTAATTGGTTGGGCAACAATCACATGTTTAAGGGTTTATATTTAGTAAGACCACCATCTTCAACTCATTCAGCAATAAAAGTGACCCTTCTCATGGTTTCTATGGTTAGTGACCATACAAGCTTTTAAAAACCAGGCAGGTAGGTAGTAGACTAAACATGATGGACAATCAAGAATAATGTCCCTACTCAAACCACTAGTGACTGCTCCTCCTGTGTTTGGGCTGATGTATCATTGTGTATGTGCAGTTAACTGCACACATTTTATTAACAGGTTGTAGTGACTATCTTGATGCAAGTCTACTAAAGACTGGACTCTTAACTGTCTTCTAATCCATGTGATACTAAAAAAAATGGTTTGCAAAAAGTGAATCTAGCTTCTAATTGGGAGGAGACTTTTCTACTGAACAAAAAGCTAACGGCAGGTATTTTTCTTGTTTTTATAGTTTAAAATGGCCGTCATTGTCGCTACTAAAGTAATCCTTTCCTGACATGCACATGGGGAATTCCATTGCTGACCCCTTCGGAGGACGCTATTGGTCTAGTGAATACATTGACCAACCGGTTTTTATAAGTGTAAGTCACTGCAAATAAAGATCTGACCTAACAAGCCCTACCTGTTTCAAGTCATAGTTCCAAGGGGCACAGTATTAAAACTTGGGTTGAAAGGAGTAAACATTAGGGCCAAGCAACTAGCATTAGTTGACAGAAGAGTAGTTAATATTGGTTGAAGACTTTTCTGAAAAATCCTCTTAACTAGGATTGTCAGTCCATTTTGAGCACATTGCCTTAACACCCCACACATTAACCCAAAGCAGCAGAATGCTGAAGTATGAAGTGGTGCTTAAAGCCATGATGCACTGGAAAAGAAAATCTACCTCTAGGCCCACAAATCATTGACACGGAAATTGGCAGAAGGGTTTATCTAAAGCAGGCCTGGACACATCTCACCCAAAACTAGGAGCCAGCTTTAAAAGCCTTGGAGCTAGCAGTATGCAACCTGCATGTGACTTACATGGGTAGCTGAAAGATACACAGCCAGGCAACAAGTAAAGTGAAAACAGGGCCACAATACATCACACTGTAGTCATAGCCCTAAATAAGTTATATATATATAAATAAATAAATCATGGGCTCCACTCACGCACCCTTACCATTTAGTGCAGATCCTGAAGCTCTGGTACGTGTTGCTCCTAGCATCAGATTTGTTTTTGTTACATTCTGGCTCCAGGAAGAAGTCATCACTGCTCGGCATTTGATTTATTTATTTTTGCTTTGAGGAATGAATCTAGTGGTGATCGCTTGAAAAGAGAAGGGGGGGTGTCGAGGGAGGGAGAGAGAGTACATGAAAGCCAATAAGTTGGAGGGGGTGCCTTCGCCCCCTCCAGACACATGCCATGGCTTGCCTGCATTGTGGTAGCTTGTCCTGACACATTTGTCAGCTGCAGGACCATGACTTGTTTGCAGTGTGTTTAAAAAAAGGAGCATCAGC